GGTGGGCCTGTGCACATACACTTTGTTTCATGCACAAAATTATTAAAAATATAATGTATAAAATTACCCTCAGGGTATGTGTATAAGGTGTATACAAAACATAAATGAATTTCATTTTTAGACGGGTCCCATCTCCAAGATATCTCATTATGTATATGCAAATATTCCAAAATGCTGGTCTCAAGCATTTTGGATAAGGGAGGCTCAACCTGTATTCATCAGCTTGCTATATTTAACTATCACCATTGCTTTCTACCTAGCCTTCAAATGGCTATTCACTTTGGAGAGCTACCCACTTCCTGTGGATTCCTGTTGTATTATGGACAAATAAAAACAATATGAATTGTTTGTGTCTGTTATAGAGCACCAAACAGTGGAAAGGGCTGCCACCCCTTTCTCTTGAGACAGGAATTCTGTGGACCAAAAACAACAGGGAGAAACCCAGGTCCCCCAGCTTGGAAGAAAATCAAAGGAGTGAAGGAACTGAGGAGGAGAAAAATAGAAAATAAAGATTTAAGCTTCAGTCTAATAACATTTACCTGGAAGTAAGCTGCAATGAATTCAATGGGACTTAGTAGTCAGGCACAGGGTTGCACTGTAAATTTATCATAGTCAACACAATCATGCATTTATTTTCCTAGATTCCCCTCCCCTCAGTTGTAAACAACCCCTATTTTAAATAAGGAAAGGAGGGCAGGTGTGTGTGTGTTTCACCTTCTGAATATAGCTAAGCACTTCTAAGAGTCAAACTAGACATTAAGGTGAATATATATTCCCTATGATTGACCAAGAGCCAGCACAGCGTAGTGGTTTGAGCATTGGACTACAACTCTGGAGACCAGGAATCAAATCCTTACTTGGTCATGGAAACCTACTGGGTGACCTTGGGCAAGTCACACACTCTCAGCCTCAGAGAAAGGCACAGTCAAAAGTCATCTCAATAAATTATGCCAAGAAAACCCTGTGATAGGTTCGTCTTACTGTCACCATAAATCGGAAACAACTTGAAGGTACACAACAATAATCAACCTGCTTTTCTTCCTTCACTTGCAGAAAACAGTGAGAGTACATCAATATTCAGAATTACAAAGTAGCTCAAGTTTATCTTCTAATGAGCAATCACAAAGCAAAAAATGATAAATAAATAGATGAGGAAAAAATCACGTTATGACAGACAGACATCTGTCAACTTTGGTGGACACCTCTGCCACAAATGTGCTAAATGTAGCATCGAGTTTGACTATAATTCACATGTTTTCAGTATTAATAGGTTAGGGTTAAGTACGGTACATACTTAATTCACTGCTCAGCATAGCAGAGCTTTTAATTGCTTAATGATAGTAGACTGCATTTATGACAGGGGATAAATATTGTCTTCAAAATAAATAAAATGACTATTTGAAGATAAATGGTCTAAGTATACTGATTATTGTTTTATTGCTCTCCCATACAAAACATTACTACAGATTAAAAATTCCTAGTTGCTGTGTATGTGTTGCTTTTTCCCCTATACATACACTTATACATATATAATAATGAGAAATAAAAAAAACTATTTTGATATTGATAAGATGAATTAAAAGATGCATTTCAGTATAAGGTTTCATGGATTACCATCCACTTCCTCTGATGCATGGATCATAATATGAATGCTTTAAGTACATGGCATGGGGTGGGATTAGAGCAAAATTGGATACAGACAATTAAAATTATGCTATTAACAGTAGCCATAAACAATTAACACAAACAATAAGTAGGGGAGTTAGCATGATAACCATCCGTTATCCAGTACAGTTTGGGAATCACTTTTTTGTGTGCATGTGCACAGAAGAAGTACCGTATTTTCCGGTGTACAAGACAACCCGGCGTATAAGACAACCCCCCATTTTTCCAGTCAAAATATAGAGTTTTAGCACCTCTATCCTCCTTATCTTTATACCCGGCATATAAGACAACCCCCCCACTCTAACCACAGATTTTGCAGGTTAAAAAGTAGTCTTATACGCAGGAAAATAAGGTAGTTGTAACACCAGAAATCACCCAGAGAAATAAATAATTTTATTTACACAATTTTCTTTATAAAAAATATACTGTATTGACCCTTACTTTCCAAGAAATGGTTAAGTAAAAAGAACAAAACATTACCCAAAGAAGTAGGAAAGGTAGAAAAACAGTATAAAAGTCTGTGTCCCTCTCGGCAACTGGTGTCCCTGCCTTTCCTGAGCGGCTGTTCCTTTAAGAGCCCTGGCTAATGGGGAAGGGCAAGGGATCAGAGACATTCAAACAGAAGGAGAAGAAAGCTTTTTCTCTGTGTCCCTGCCTTTGTCTCAGCAACTATTCTTTTAAGAGCCCTGGATACTTGCCCCAAAGAATCATGGGAAATCTGGCAACAAGTACAGAAACGAGGAGAATCCCGCAAATGGCTTTCACACTAGAGCAATTGCGCACAAATGTTAATTCATGAATGAAACAGAAATGAATTTATGGTATTTTCCCCCAAATGCCTATTTTCTGGTTCATGTCAATTTCCTGTCAGATTCCAAGTGATTTGCACACAACGTTGTGTGAAAACCATTCGCGCAATTCTGCCTAATACGCTGGATAACCATGGGCTCTGACTTGTTTAAACTTCCAATTTTCCCCATGTGATAAACTTCTAGAAAACATCAAGGCCAGTTCACTACTGTTTTAAGAGAAAACAACATGACTTACTGCAGGGGCTCCTTCTTCAAGCAACGATTTCCAAATCCTGGTTTATTTAAGAAGGCGTCAATAAGAGGAACCATTTCCTCACTGCCAGGCTGTTCATTGCTAATGAGATTTGATGAGATTTAGACTATAAAAAGAGATTACTACAGAAGGAATACAGTTATAAAAGTAAACCAGTTGATCGAACAGGTAGGGCAGAATCACAGTAGATGTAACAGATGGCACACAAATTAAACAAAACAGTATATGCAATTATTATTTTCATCCATGACCAAGCCACTGACTTCTAAATGCAGCAAGAAGCAAATGTTTACAGATATTCCTTGCTAATAAATGATCAAGGCTTCTTTTTTTAATGTTAGAAATCTAACCTATTACAATAGAATTCTTGTTGCTGAAGCTTAACAACAGGATATATCTACTCCTACCTATATATTTCCAACATAAACTAATGTAGCCTTTCCCAGCCTGGCATCCCTCTAGATGGGTTGGACTACAAATCTCACAGTCCTGTGAAATCCAGTTGACTGGAGACAATAGAAAATGTAGGGCACTGGGTTGGGAAAGCCTTATCTAGTGCTATGAGCTGGCTAATATAACCTCAAATCTGGAAATATAATGTACATTGAGGGTGAGGAAAGTATGGCCATCTAGATGGTGCTGAACTGCAATTTCCATTAGCCCAAATCAGCATATCCAATGGTGAGGGTTGATGGGAGTTGCAGTCCAACAATCTTTGGAGGTCCACATGTTGCCCATCTTGGAGTCCTTTTTACTAAATATATGATAACAAGCTGTTGTAGGGACTCTGCACTAATTTTCTGATCTCATTCCATCCTACTTTTAAGGCATGACATTTCTAGGAATAAATCACAATTCCTGATGATACATGCAAGGGAAAGATTGTACATGTAAGCTTACTGTCACATTGTCACATGCAACCTTTCCATATTTGAGACTGTAACCTTTCCATATTTGAGATTGTATGAACTGGCCACAAATCACAAGCATTCCCATTCATCCAACCATCACTTATCTCCATACTTTTGACACCAAATATAGGTGATGGGTATAAGCAAAAAACAAACAAACAACAACAACAACAACAAACTAGAAAGTGATAAAAGAAATTCCAAACACAAAATTTTAAAGGAATAACTTTATAATTGTTTTAACACTAGTCAGTTAGCAGAAAATAGTATAATGCTAATGTTACTTCACAGACATAATACTAGTTAGCCAGAAAGAAAGTGCAAAATCTAGGCTAGAAGAAGAGCTAATTTACAACTCGATAAAGTCTGAGAACTAATTCAGAGGAATACAAATGGCAACTCCATAACTCAACAAGTCACCATAATGCTATCTAAGAAAACAAAAAAGGAAGGTCTACTTTGAAAAAGAGACATCTGACCTGAAGAAAGTGAACTGCTGTCCATAGATCCATGGTTGTAGTGTCAGACTGGGGTATTCACCAAATGGAGGGATGATGATTGTAAGTATCAGAGCTAGCAGCACAAAGCTAGAAGGGAGAACAATCTGCAGGCAATATGGGAAACATCAATCACCTGCACCACATACAGTATAGCAGAACTATTTCTGATAAAACTCAGCTAACAAATAAGCAGACCAGCAGCAGGGAATTCTGGAAATCTCCTACCCAGATCTGTTCATAACACCTAAAAAAAAAAAATCAGTACCAACTCTGCTGCATATTTATCAAATTGTATATATATTCCAAAGGATCTTTTTTGAGATTGTGGAGAAAAGTCTTCTAATGACTTAGAAATTATCAATGATAGGAGTATAAGAACATAGGAAACTACCTTAAATTAACTCAGATCACCAGCATAGTGCTGTCAGTTTGTCCAGCAACAGCTTGTCAAGCCTTTAGTCTTTCCTAGATCAATCTGGAGGTGTCAGGGATTGAATCTGGGACCCTGGTATGTAAAGTACATATTCCTATGTGGCTATTATCCCATATGAAAAATTTGGATTTATCTTCACCCAGACTAGGATTTATTTGCCCATTTGTTCCTCTATATCAGAGTTGGGAGTTATGTCGCCCTCCAAAAGTTGGACTGCAACTCCCAGCATTCTTTACAAAATAGTTATGCTGGCCAAGATTACAAACTAGCAACTTCTGAAGGGTTGCATGGTTCCCACCTCTCTTCTGTTGCTGTTATGTGCCTTCAAGTCATATTCCACTTATGGTGACCCTAAAATGAACTTATCATGGGGTTTTCTGGAGCTGAGAGTGTGTGACTCACTCAAGGTCACCCAGTGGATTTCAGTGCCTGAGCAGGGATTTGAACCCTGGTCTCCAGAGTTGTAATCTAACAATTGAATCACTATACCATGCTGGCTCTCACCTCTGCTCAACAGGGACTCATTTTTGGCCATAATGTGCTTTCAGAACAGGGCTTCTCTACTCATTACACAAAAGAATGATTTCTTAAATGCAGTAGGTAAGTGTTCTTGACAGTAAATGACAACAAGATACCATCCATTCAAGCAAACAGTTCTACTGTAGAGATAATTTAATCTTACTAGTTATGTAAGCTAAAACAGGTTGGCTTTGTGTGGATTTGTAACTGCGCAGAAAGCTTTGGGATCTGATTCACCCACTTATCGTAAATTGTTCCATAATGCAATGATTTGCTTTTACAATGAGATCATACTGCTTTGTTACCAATAAAGACAGATGTACATATGTGAATTCTGTATGACAGGAAGCTCTGCAGCTGTAATGAATAAATACATACCTGAGCAAGGAAGTCTTTAAAACTACGGGTGGTGTGGCGGAATCGTTTGACAAGCAGCGCTTTCATCTGCTGAAGGAAGAGCTGGTAACCCTTATTTTGCTGGGATCCTTTGCCACCGCTCCCATCCCCTTCCAGAGCCACAGGTCTCCGAGAAGCACCATTGGCTGTGTGGCCATTTTGGTGGGTTTCCTCTTCTTGCTCCACAGCACCATTCTCCTGGGCACCTAAAATCAAAATGACAGAATGCTAGTTGTTCCCCTCTGAGGAATGTTTAAATATATTTTAGTACATTTCAACAATCTTGGAATAATTGTGTGTTTCTTTAAGATATAACCTGGTAGAAAACATAGCATTTTTCCTAATCTATACAAGAAACATAGCATTTTTCCTAATCTATACAAGAAAGGTAAAGAATGTGCATCCTTTCCTATGTTGTTCAACTATGGTTCTCATTAGCTCTCACCATTTTTTATGTGGGCTATTGCTTAGAGCAGCTGTAGTGCAACAGCATCTGAAGAATCACGTTGCCCAACCCCTGCTATAAAATGAATATGGGTACCCAAACTAATCTGGGAATCCCCATTTGCACCCATGTCATGGAGTAATGTGGATAGCACAAGAGTTAATGGCATTGCCATTAAGTTCTGACTTTTGAAAAATGGCCGCCGAAGTGAGTTAGGAGAGCCGCATTGGAGCAGGGATGTACTCAGATGGCAGTTTTTGGGCCAAAAGCTGTGCGATAAAACGAGGATGCAGTCTGACTTCAATTTGGAAGGGGTAAGACCCTTTTGAAAGACATGTAATAATCTCCTAGGTTTGAGTTGGACTGAGAGAAGGGAGTTTAAATTGATTGGTAAGGATATGAATTAGCTTAAGAGGAGTAAAAGTGTTTTAGCTGTTTCAGTCATATTTTTAATAATGTTGATTTTTAATTCCTTTTTAACTTTTTGTAAATTAATATTTTAGTTGGATCTTTTTAAAATTATTGTAAGCCACCTTAGATCGCATGTTGAGAGGCAGGCAGGATATAAGTGTAATAAATATGAACAAACAAACAAATGTGTGTGTGCGTGTGTGTGTATGCAGTGTTTTAAATGTAATAAATAAATAATATACTGTGTTTTGTTTAATTTCTATAATATATAAATTTAAATTTTATACACTTTTGTACGCCTTTGGCCTTCAGAAATGTTATCTGCCTAAGACAAGGAATCTACAATGGCAGTATTGAACACAGATGGGTGGCATTTATTGAGGATATAAGTTGCATAAATCCTCATATGTACATTGAAGGTATTTAGATAGTTCCCAAAGCTGATTTCACAGAGATGGAGATCAGGTAAATCCTTCACTCTTGGTAATTGCAGTGAGTACCATGGAAGCCTTTACAGATGGTGGGTTAAAGGGTAGAAACCCCAGATTTGGCAACAGTAGGTAGGGCTGTCTGAGAGGAATCCTCACAGTTGGCAGCAGTGCAGTGGAATATTAGGTGAAATCTACAGTCTCCTCAAGAGAATTTTGCCTGAAGCAATAAGGGACACATCCAGCTTGTGTGTGTGTGTGTGTGTGTGTGTGTGGCTTTAAGCCCAGATGCGAGGGGAACCCAGCAGTGGCCTTTGCCCATGTGGAATCCATGGTTGCATCACTTCAGGATCCCACCAGCATTTGAGCTGACAGGAAGGTAGTTTATTGGCTGACAGTTGGGTTGCCCAGTTAATGGATCTGTTCCCCATGCCAGGCCATTCAGTTGTAAAAGTTGTGATCTGATTTTATTCCACATTGAAGTGTCTGGTCTTTACTGGAGTGCTCAGTCCTGATTTGAACTGCAGTACAACTACACCAGGGAACCTTTACAGATCTAACTGAAAATAAACTTAGCAAATGCTGCTAAACTGCTCCAGGATTCCTGTTTCCCAGTGAATTTTGTTTACATTTGTTTTGATTCATGATTTACACCACTGTTTTAGGGTCTATGACTAAAGCAACTGCATGGCCCCACAATGTTCACACCAATATTATTGCCCTAATCCTTCCCATGTTGGAGAATGCACCATTCCAGGGACCTTCCCCCATAATATACTCATATCTTGACACCACGATGTCACTAGTAGCTAGCAACATAGTGTGGTCCAGAAAAAACCCCCATAAGGCTTACTTGAGTTCTAGTGGATGTTGCAGAGGTGGAGGGGCATATTAGAACTAGTGGGTTTTCCCTTTTCATCAGTAGTTTATTAAAATATTTAGCATATTTTAGTTTGTTACTCAGGCACTGGACTGTGAAGTGTTTACCTGCGTTCTGTATTTCAGGATCAGCTTCTGCTGTAACCTTTAAAAAAACCTACAAGAAAAACACATTAAGAAGGTGTTTTGTGAGGTAAAACACACAAAAGCATTATTCATTCCCTTCCTCTTGCTCCAGTATAATACAAAATAACAACATTTCCCCTTTGGTTTATTTCCAACTAACAATAATTATGAAACTGAATTCTGTAAAGGAGAAAGGGATGAGAGGGAAAAATATAATTGGGAACGAATTAAATTTAAATATACTGAATATCTTACACCTTAACCTATTAGTGGAAGAGGCAAACAGTTGAAATTAGATATATATTTACACAATTACATATATATTAACCGAAGTTAATGAAAGAGAGGATAGTCATGGGGTAGATGTCTCAAGGTTAGCAACCTCCTCAAGTGGTGTGTCTGAAATCCCAAAGCTGCTGAGTCCCAGGTCAGCCAATGTTTCCTCTAACTCTCTGAAGAGACTGGCATAGGCTCGCTGCTTAAAATTCTTACTGGGCAGAAGGTAGATGAGCTCTTGACCAATACTTTCAATTAACTTTGCTTCTGGAACATGATGATGGATAAGTTCATTGAGTTCATTCACATTGCCTGTGAAGAGCCAAAGAACAGCTTATTAGTGATTGCTATATGTTATTGCCAACACACAAGAGGACATCTAAAAGATGTGGCTCTTGTAACATTGCATGATGCATGTTGATGAGGTAGTCAAATCCTTTGGCCCAGCCATGATAGTGAAATAATTCTACTGAGTTCAGCCTTCAAAGACATTTAAACTACTAAGTAAATGTACACAGATATGCAAGGTTGAATCTCAGCAAGCTCCATGTCACAATAATTCACTTGTTATGTGGAGGCAACCTTAAGTTTCCCACGAGTGTAGTCATGAAGAAACTTTCTTGAAGAATATATTGTTGTTATTGCTGTTGTGTGCCTTCTAGTCATTTCCAACTTATAGAGAGAGTGGTCACAATTTAGTTTATATTGTTCATTTCAGTGTTATGAAAATCTGAACATATAAGACAGGGATCTGTGTGATCAGTCACCAAAGAGTATTTATCAATCAAGTTCAGCAATATGGAGCTCCTTTCATAAGTCACCTATCAATTTATGGTGACCCCATGAATTTCATAATTTTCTTGGGCAAGGAATACTCAGAGGTGATTTTGCCACTTCCTTCTTCTGAAATATAACCTACACCATCTGGTATTTGTTGGCAGTCTCCCATCAAAGTACTAACCAGGGCTGACACTGCTTAGTTTCCAAGATTAGACCAAAGTAATGAGAAGAGATATCTCTTATTGGGGGGTCCTATAGTTCATGTATTTTGAAAAAGGTTCTTATAAACTCTTTGCCCCTACTACCATATCTGAAAGCTGTGTGTACACAGCAGTAACTGAACACCAAAACGGCAGCACCAAGGAAGAGGACAAAGTAATCATATCATTAGTACCACCACCACAACCACCATTATTATCCAACAGGTGTAAGAAACAAATTTATTTATTCCAATTATATACATTTCAGTGCATTTCAAGCAAATAGCTCTTCATTGGGAGCCATTTGCTGAAAATGTTGGGGTGATTGTAACATTGGGATCCTCCCCCCCAAGAAAAGCACAAGAGGTTGCATGATTTAAAAGTAAAAGAAGCACAAGATCATCCCTGTGGGGCCAAACCAAGAATTCAGCTATCATTTTGTATCTAAGAGAGGCAAATCAGAGGCTGGTAGAAGGGCACCAAGTTGACAGTACTTCCCTGATGTTTATTCCTAGCACCTGATACTCAGAAACCTCTGAATTTCCACTGAGTTACCTGAGCTAACAGATGTGCAACCCAAGAAAGTGAGTAACCAATGTTGTTGTTGTTGTTGTGTGCCTTCAAGTCATTTTGGACTTATGGCAACCCTAAGGTGAAGCTATTACAGGGTTTTCTTGGCAAGTGTCTTCAGAAGGGGTTTGCTATTGCTATCCTCTGAGGCTGAGAGTGTGTGACTTACTCAGTGTCACCCAGTGGATTTACATGGCCAAGCCAGGATTAGCAAACCCTGGTCTCCAGAGTCATAATCCAATACTCAAACCACTATTCCCAATCATATTATGCAATAAAGAAGTGAAGCAAGCTTTGGTCTCACCATCCAGTTCCTGTGCAAGGGTTTCTGCTTTGTCTGTAGGTGCACAAGAGGAGCAGGGACATGAACATTTAGATCCCAGGCTGCAGGAGGTCTAAAAGCAGATAAGTAATGCTATCAGTTACTAATGTCCTCATAACACAGGTTAAATATCATATTAGAACTTT